AAATAACAGCAGCATCTCTGGCCAGGGTGGTACTTCTCTAAGTGCCTTTTTGGAGAGGACACTCAGGCAGCAGAGATTTGTTGAAGGGGTTTGATCAGAATGTCTGGCCAGGCAGCCCCAGAAGGGATCCTTCCCTGCTCTCTAGTGAGGATCATGTGCCACTTCCCCATTCTTTGTGGTGTTTGCTCCATGCCCACCTCTCCCTGCAGCTCAGCCTCAGCTCAAGTCCAAGTCAAGGCATGGGGAGGGGTAGCAGGGCAAGCTGGGGTCAGGTGATGCTCCTCTGCATGACATAATGGTGTATGTCTGCCTTGTGGCAATGGCTTCCCTTTCTAGAATAGCAGAAACAATATATGAACTACTTTTTTTTTTTTTTTTGATCCTTTGACCTTTACTGTAATGCAATTTGTAACACTTATTAAATTATGACATAAGAACTGCAAGGTGCAACTCTGCATCTGCTGGGGATTTTCACCAGTGTGAGAGGGGTTTCTTCTGCAGCATGTTGTACTTTCAGCCCTTCACCTCTGAAGAAGGTTGGGACATTTAGGCACCCCATGAGATGGGTCCCCACCTCATAGCACAGGACCTTGTTTCTTTCACTGCCAAAATCAACAAGATTGTCAAGCAATTCTTGTGTGGGACATCTGCAGCAGCAGACCTGGCTCTTGTTTTCCACATCTCACCCTCACAGGGTTAGCAGCTTTCCACAGCTTATTAGTTGCTTGCACAGCTCTGTTCTGCCACAAAATGGATCTGGTTTTAAATTTAAAAGTGTCATATATTTTTCTTTCTCTTTCTCCTCTTATAGATAATTTCCCACTCCCTTCATATTTCTGTTTCAATGTTGTACTGATGCTTATTCCTTGGTACTAAAATTAAGAGCCAGACATGGTTAAGGGATACAGGGTTTTTACTTTGGTATTGAATAAGGATTTTTATGGTGTGACACGCCTCCAAGGTGGAATACTCAGAAATGCACACACAGAGTAGATCTCATATACAACTTTATACACCTTGTAAATTAGCATATCTATCAAAGATGCTCTAATGAGAGACTTGAATGAATAGCATGATATCTCCTTGTCCTGAAGTATTCCCACAATGGCCCTAATCCTAGTTTACAGGATGTATTCTAGAGGGGACCTAGATTTCTCAAGATAGTGTAGGATTTCTGGCCTCCAACTCTGAGTCCTTTAGGATGTTTGGTCTTGTGGCCCAACAGAATACCAGGACTATGCTAAATTATCAGATTTAAAGAATTACAAGTATGCATGCTAAGGGCACTGAGAATAATAAAAACTATATAAAAGAAAAGACAAAAAATTGTAGTGGCATCAGCACTGGTATTACTTGATCTCATTCACTAAGTTTAGAAAAAAAAGTAGTAAAAATATATGTTAATTAATGGACAGGATCAGATAAAATTTTTGAGAGCAGTCATAAGAAACTGGCAAGAAAAAAAATTGTGTCTGGGGTCTGGGTATCATAGGAGGCCACCATATATTCAAAAACTCTTTTAGCAAGCTCTGGGTAATGCCAAAGCAGTGGAAGCAGCTACCACTCCTGGTGAGATGACACAGTCTTTGAGAAAATGAGATCCAGGGATAAACACAGTCTCTTGGGAAGCTGTTGGAGAGGCTCCAGTGAAGTTCAGCATCACTGGCTTCTGGAGGGAGGGTGGTAAGTATGCCAATAAAGGAGGTCATGTGAGCAAAATAATCCTCTTGCACTTTCAAAAAGCTTTGAGAAGCTTTTTGCAAAGCTTATTAAACTTTGTAAAGAAAATAAGTTGCCACAAGATTGGATGAGAGGTTGGTTTTGGAGTTGAAAGCTGGTATAAGAAGAGGAAGTGAGGGACAGGGCTTAGTGGTCACTCTCCAGGAAGGAGGAGATTTATGCAGTCAGGGGATAATTCAGGTCAGAAGGGACCTCTGGAGGCCATCTAACTGAACCTCCTCTCCAAACATGTCTAAAGGGCTAAGGTTATGCAAGGACTTCTTTAGTGAAATTTGAATATGACCAAGGATAGCCTTTCCACAACTTGATGCAAAAGTCTTAGAATTTGAGCTGTTTTTTCTTGATGCCTCCATCTGTGACCTCTACAAAGCAGTGAAACCTGTTGGGCTGGAGAGGTATTGGGCTCTGACTGTAAGTGCCTGTGCCATCCCTGAAACAGACTTGAATGTGCAGGGTGGGGTAGAACTTGGTGGTCCTCAAGGTCCTTTTTAAATCAAACCATTCTGTGATTTATGTGTGAAATTTTTTTTAAAAAATTGCTTCCAAGTTTGAACAACACTACATGATTTTTCTGGCATAGTTATGCTGAGAAATACTACTGGTCCTGAGCACTGTCCTTCCATTCATTTCCCATACACACACAGAGATGTCTTTTATTAGTGGGGATGTGACAGATGGCTACAACAGAAAACCTTATTTTTGTTTGCTGGTGCTTTGTCAGAGCAGATCTTGGCTGGCAGATCCTGCAGCAGCCGTGTCTACTCTGGACAAGCACCAGTAAAACCAAGCCTATTGCAGGATTTTTTTTTCCCAGTATTAGGAGAAATAGGTCTATACAGCAAAGTGTATTAGTGTTATTTGGAATTATATTCTATCTTTGAAAAAAAAAAAAACTGGAAATTTACCTGTTCTAGAGCAACACATTTTCTCTTGCACCTAAAGCTGACTACACCAGCATCAGCAGCAGCAGCAGGAGCTTTGTGCAGTGTGCAATTCAGCTAATATGCAGGTTTGGCAATGACTTTGACTTCAAGTACATTAAATCTCCTCACTGTCCTGAAAATATAGGCTAGATAATTCTGGATCAATGCAAGTAAGGCTACAGATTCCACTAGGGAAAAATCCTCCTCCTTGACTTGCTTGCACTTTACTCCTTGCACTAGCAAATATCATTTCCCTTTGTCATTAACAACTGTGTATTTGTTTTCAGTGCTTTATCTGAGGTACTCACCAGAAAGCTACAACGAGAATGGTTTGAAAAAAAAAATGTTCCAGTGCAAACTACACAGGACCGAATAGGTGATTGTTTCCTGGACCTTGTCAAAGACTCCCTTCTCTGCAGTTTAGTCTTTGTTAGCAACAATGGCAAATGTCTGCTGGATAAAAGGTTTGCTGATCACAGGAGGGGATTCAGCTTTCTGATTGCCAAAGAGAGAACAGTCAAGCAATCCTCTGTAATCCTCTCAGTTAAACAATCTTTTACGGCTTTCCCTTGCATTGCCCGTATAACTTGTAGAATGCATCTAGGGTAGGGGTGCCAAGCAACTTCCCTATTTGTGGTATTTATTATCCTGCCAAGTTTAAATAATTTCCTTTCCTGTTTTGTTTTGTTTGTTTATTTGAAATGCATTGCACAACCCCTGAGCAATGCAAGCAAAAACAGTTTACCTACTTTGACAGCAGAACAGACAGCATTCTCCAATTTTAATGCTTGCTTTTTAAATATTGTTTTCAGGCATCTGATTGCTGGAAAACTGTTACTAAAACAGTTCTGTGTATTTTAGTATGCAAGCTTTAAGTGCTGTTCATCAGCCGAGATGTATCTTGCATCCACAATCTGCACACTTTGCCAAAGCTGATACTTCTGTCAGTCCTAAGTAGTTTCCTGGGTGGTTGAAGGAAGTGAGAGGAAAACAAAAATGTTTTCTGTGACCCTCCATCTCAGTTGGTACTCCTACCCATGTCACCCCTGGGCAGGACTAGGTCTGAAGCAATGAATAAGCTATGTTAATTGGAGTTTGGGTTAATTGGGTCACTCCTCATTAGTACTGCCTTATTTACCAGTTCAGTTTTTCTTGGTATTACATCTATATATGTGTCCACATCTGCACATGTGGGTGTGTTGCATTTATAATATGCATGCATGTATTTTAAACATATGCCTACATGAATCTGTGTATGCATATTTATGTCTGTATATGCATGTTCACATTTATTTATGTATTTAACTATCTATGCATTTAGTTATACCAGGTCAGGCTCATTAGTGATGTGAAGAACTTTTCTTGCAAAGGTTTCCTCATTTTCGATAGGTAGATTGCTACAAGCATAAATTTAAGAATTCCAAGGGATCTTCAGTGACCTTTAAAAAGCACACAAATAGTCATGGTTGAAAAATGTTGAATGCTCTGTTGACTCACAACATCATGTACCCAGGGTTTGGGCACCACTGAGACTTTGGATATGGACAGTGGTACTTCACAGTCAGAGGATCATCTGGGGAAAAAAACAGTGGTTTACTGTGATACTTTTTAAAACTTACCTATGAAATATGCATTCTAACTATTTTCCAGGATGAAATAAAACCACAACTTCAACTTGTCATTTGTCTTTTAGTTTTCTAGAGCAAAGCTAGATTGAAAAGCAGAAGCTAGGATGGGATAAAATGTGCAAAAACAAACAGGTTAGGAAATTATCTGTTGTTTTGTTCTTTGGGTTTTTTTCTTTTTCAGTAGTCCCTGTAGAATTTATAATAAAAGTAAAAGTAATAAATTAGCATTCATTAGCAGATAATAATATTTTTTTATCAAAACAGTCTTGCCATTCAGTACTATACCGATATAAAACTTTGTTAGTGACATCAAATGGCATCTCCTAAATTTGCAAATAGTGGAATAGTACTTTTCTCAAAGTATGGATTGTTGCAAGTAAAGCTCTATTAATTATTCTGTTGATAATAGTATCAAGTCCTGTTTTGAATGAGTTCTTGCCCATGGGATTAACAACAGCATGTGTTCACATAACACAGAGTCTTGTGTACTATCTAGTATGCCTAAAATATTTTTACTCTTTTTTTATTATTTTAGTGTATACAGTGGTATGTGACAGCAAATAGTATTTTTAGAATGGATTTGGTATATTTCCTGTGTAACTCCTTTAGGTAACCCTGCGTTTTGGGTTTTGGGCTAGGTGATCTTCAGAGGTCCCTTGCAACTTAAACCATTCTGTGATTTGTGTTTGTTTTACTACAATGGAAGAGCATCCTTTTGGAAAACTGTGCTTTAAACATCACATGAACACTAAAAGGCGTGAGTGGCATTTTAGAAATTGTATTACTAATCAGCCTACTATTGAAAAGATAGATATTATTTAAATAGTAATGGAAAAAAAAAGTTTAAATACTTTAAAAGAGAAAGTTTACACTGTTCTCTCCTTTGTTTGCGGCAGTCCCAGGTCCCTCCCCTGGTGCAGAGAAGCGGTGGCACCGTCCCCTGCTGAGCGGATGTTGGTCCTGTTCCTGCGGGGCGGCAACAGAAGGCGTGCGGGGTGGGACACGGCTCTGCCCCATCGCCTTTCCCTGCCCCTGCTCACCTGGCTGTACCTGCCCTCGAGACGTCATGTCGCTCTGCCATAGCGTCTGCGGGGCTGGCTGACGTCAGGATGCGATGGCCGGGACCGCCCGGCCGGACGCGACATCGCCTTCCGCGACAGCGCCGGAGCACCGCGGCTACCGCAGCCTGCGGTGCTGCTCATCTGCTGCTGCTGCAGATCCCGATCCTGCTGCAGATCCCGATCCTGCTGCAGATTCCGATCCTGCTTTTGCCGCTGCTGCTGATCCTGCTGCTTCTGCTGCTGTGGCTCCGGCGTGCGGCTGCAGTCCATCGCCCGGAGCAACCAGCACCGAGTTATCCAGCCTGGCCACAGCCGGGGGAATGTGGCAGGAGTCCCCGAGGTCACCGCAGCGAGGCTGAACAAGCCAAACCCGCTGGGGATTTGCAATGCAATCAGCCTTTCCAGGTTTCTTTTCCACTTTGCTCCCACCCTGCTGTTGGATTTGAGATCATGTATGTGTTTTGCTGTTGATTACAGGAGGGTGTTAAAATGTAAGGAGGGAAAAGGATTCAGAAGGATTAATATATTAGTTTTGATTTTATTTTCTTTCCCTTCATCTTTGTTAACACAACTTTGTCTTTATTATTTATATTTTAGGTCGGTTAATATTGTAGCTTTTGGGAATGAAAGAGATGGCTTTTCTGAGGACAATCAGCAGCCGAGTCTCATCTGGAGCTATCTCGGGAGAAGTGCTCTCATTTCCCAGATCGACAGCAGCTTGTCTGCCAGTCACGTTGGAAATCCAGTTTTTACTGAGTATCAAGCCTGCGTATTTGGAAATGTCAGACTGGTGGTACACGACTGTCCTGTCTGGGTAAAAGATCCATCTCACTCTTTTTAACTACACTTAAAAGTGTGAGCTGTTTTAGTAAAATGAAAGCATATCCTAATTTTAAATGGTTGCCATTGTTGTGGGATTTTATTTTTTTTTTTTTTTGTAGTTTTATTATTGCATTTAGTAATAAATCTTTAAAAATGTAACCAGGCAAATGCTGGGAAATCTCAAAGGTGCTATAAAAAGGTTCTCATAAACAAACCTCTGCTGGGCCTTCCCTGTAAGAAGGTGGTTTTTTCAACTTCTTGCTTAGTGGAAATTTTGTGAAAGATAATCTAGAGGTAAACAAGAATGCCTTCTTTGTGACACTTCATCATAAACTCTCTCTCCAAATATTTGTCAAAAATAAAATGACATTTTATTTTTCTGTAAAAAAAAGGCAATAAGTTTTCCAGCTGTGAAAAACGACAGATTAAAAGTTTCGATAGGTTGCAAATACCATGTAGGGAGTAATTTTACTCCTCTTACAAAGAATACTCACGTATTAACATTATTGCCTTTATCTGATAGTAAATAAAAAAGATTCTGGCACTGTTGCAAGTTGTTGGCACTTGTGTTAGTAAGTGAGAAAACTTACTTTTGTAAGTAAGTTTGGAGTGTGAGCAGATCAATGATTATGTAAGAAATTATACTGATAATCTAAATTAAAACATATTTAATGACTACTTAGTAGACTTAAAAAAAACCCTCAGCTTACCAGCTTTTAGAAATTAAAACAATAATCAGTTTCAGCACTATAATTCTATCCTTTGAGTGATTTTTCTACTCCTGTAAGGGAAACCTTTTGTAGAATCTGCAGGAGCCATAACAGCTCCATGAAATTATCAGAAGCCAGCAATCTTAAAATGAAACAATCCAGTTTAGCTGCTCTTTATTTCTTTTTTGCCAGAATGGACTGGGGATCCTGTTTCTAATCTGTGAAACTGCACGTGACCTACACATGCAGTTTGCTGGAGTCACTGGAGTGCAGCAAAGAGTAAAATCTGAATATAAATGAAGTCTGTAGGGCTTCAAAGGCTGTTTCAAAGGGATGAAAGGAGGTGGGTAAGGCAGTGGGGGCAGCTGGAGAAGGAGAAGCAAGAACATAGACTGGAGACAAAGTTGATGAGTTTTTACATTGCTTTAATTGCATTTGGCTTTCTGCAGAACAAGGTTGTTCCGTTCTGAAGACCTTGTAATTTCTGCCCTTCAAAAGTTAGCTTGTTATTATCTGAGTTATTGCATTTCTGAGGCCTTCAGTTTTTTCCCCTCTATCAGCTAAAGGAGGCAGGATATACATTACTGAGAATGTTGAGGACAAATTAGCATTTTTCTCTTCATGGAAGACATGTCAGATAGCAGGACTGGACTCTGCAGCAGGTTGTCATGCATAAAGCAGTGTCCTTGGTAGGGTAAGGCAGAGCAGGACCATTTCCCGCAGCCTGGGTGCTTGAGATTCACTATGTCACAGTGGCTCGTTCAGGGCTGCTAGCCTGGAGAAACAGCACAGAACAATTCAAAAGGTTGACAGATGTTGCTTCAAGCCATATTCTGCATAGAAAAAGGATTGATGTTTCATGTTACCAAAGCACAGAGGTGGTGGTATGGGGGGGCCTTGCAGTATTTCACCATCTGAGCACAAGGCAGATTTGCATTTTACCTGGGATTTGTACCTTATCTAGATTAAATGCATATGATCAAGACAAGAAGGTCCTAGATATGAACTTGGCAGCTGAATGCACTGATAGCTGTGAGTCTCAAAACTCAAGGGTGCCCAGCTGCTCTTTGTCCTCCACAGCCATCAGTCTGGAAATGCAGTGTTGATGTGGTTTTACTGAGTACAGCTCCACAGTGAGTGGGGGGATCCTTTTGCATAGTAGATTGTGGTGCAGTTTAATTTTCTTCCATTTCAGTCTGCACCTGTCTGTCAGCCCAGGACACTATTCAGCCTTCTGAGTCTGCAGAAGGGTCAGCAAGACAGGTGTCTTTGGGAAATTACAAAGATAAATTAATGATTGCCAGCATGCAAACTAGCATGTTGTGAGGAGCTCTCCTTCCCCTGGCAATTGCAGGGTGCAGGATGTAAATGCTGACTTTGGGGACCTTATAATATCACAGGGCTGTAGAGATAGAAGTGGAACACCACACTTTTCAAAATCTGAAGGCAAAATGTCAGAGTTTCCAAGGACAGATTGCTCTTTAGTGTGAAGTGCTCAGTAGACAGTGTGTCACTCTCTGGGTGTACCAGTATGTCTTGCTCTGGCAGAGCTGTGTACTGTGTGCAGGGGACAGGCTCACAGTGCACCAACATTGTTGCAAATCACCCGGCCTCAAAACGTTTCCTCAAAAATGCAAACCTAGGGTAGAGAAGGCATCAGGAACTAAGCAACTAGGGAAGACACATGTGTGCTAACATCTCTGCTAAATATTGTGGTTTTAACAGCTGATCAGTTGCTAATGCATGCTTAAGCTACTCTATAATAAGGCATATTGAGAATGTCCCAGTTTTTCTAATTTTGGAGGGGTAAACCTCTGTATGGAGCAAGTAACTCATAAGGAGAAATTTGCAAGATTAATTTTAAGACTAGCTTTGAAAAAGACTGCTTTAATTGACAATCTGTGTTAGATTTGATAGTCTTCAGGTCTGACATGCCATTTTGTTGACTTGCCTGTATTTTACAATTCCACTTGACCCTAAATTTTTTTAGGCTTCTGCAGAAAAAATGCAGACAGAATTTTTAATATCTAATGGCAAGTGCATCTTCCTCAAGTCCAGAATTAAGCATAGCATAGAAGCCGTAATTCATGTTTTGATTCATTTAATTACAGTGCTAGAAAATAAATGGCAAAATAAAAAGTCCTTTGTAAGTGTTCCCTACTTGAAGTAACTCTTGTTCTCCCCTCTCTTACTTGGAGCAATCCCCTTAGGATATGGGAGTGTTTCTGTCCTAGCCTGGGGGTCTTATTGTCCTTTTTAACTTTTTCTACTAAGACCCACCTGGTTTTGTTTGTTTGTTTCAGTTTTGTGGCTTTTGTTCGGTTTGTTTGGGTTTATTTTCCCTTATGAGAAACAATACCCCCAGAATTTTTTTAGCTTTCCCCTATTTTATAAAAACTGCTCAGTTTCTAGAGAATTACTGACATTATCAAGTACAGAAATGTTAAAAAATACAATACATATAGAGCAACTGGGTTTTGGAGATTGCCTTATACTGGGTGAGATACTTGAAGAAGGGTGGATGCTCTGCTGTGTCTGCTCAGAGCCTTGCACAGAGCTGCAGACCTCCATGAGGTTCACTAGTACACAAATATATTAACTGCTACTTAAATATATTAACTACAATTTTAAGAAGCTGTTCTGTGAATTTTTTTTCTAATTCTGCCTTACAAAAATCTCTTTCCCTGAATATTTTAGTTTTTTTTTTTCTTGTTATTTACTGTACCAACAGGAGTAATCCCTCAAACACTGTGAGTTTTCTTATGTCACCGATATCACCAATAGTGTTGTTCTCTGGATTTTTCCTCTTTATCATAAATCTTGTGCTCCTTGTTCTGCCAAGGCTGGCCAGTCTTTATCATGTCTAAAGGTACAGGAATCTGAGCCACTTTCAGATTTTATTTGCTATTTTTAGAAATCTAGACATATTTATTGCTTCAGTAAAAAATGACAGCTAGTAACTTTTCATTTTTCAGTATGTCATCCCTTCTCATTTTTAAGCTTGAGTGCCTGAAGTGGCAATTTACAACAAATGATCATATCCTGGTGAAAAATAGTTTTAAATTCATTTATGAGAGGATAATAAAGGCCAATATGAGCTTACTTTGTTTCATGAGGGGGATGTTGAGGAGGATTTCTGAAGGGCACACTTCCATCTGTGCTGCAGATTACTTATCTGAGTAAGTTCAGGGGCCTAGTAAGTTATGGAGAGTACACCCAAAAAATTTGCCCTGCTGCAGACTGATAAGAAATTGCAGAGGAATCTTGAAAAAAAACGAGGAAGGTTCTTGTATGTGGTGTGGAGAACATCAGTGTGATGGAAAGGGAAACAGGTCTGTAAATGGATCATAGAGAGGAATAATATCGCTGGTTGGGGGGTTATGTATGAATTATGAATAGGACAGGACTGTTAAGGAATGTGTCTCAAGCTGTTTATTTTTTAGCATTAGTCTCATTACATGCTTATGACAATGGGAAGATGCCAGTAGCTCACATCTTAGGCAGCAGACTAAGAACCTCATGTTGCAATTTATTTTAAAAGCTTTTTGACTAATCACACAAAGCAAAAGCATAATGACAGTTTTACCTAACCACCATATGTACACATACCTTTGGTTAAAACAATACTTGCTTGTTTCAAGTACAATACTTGTTTGTAAGCCTTAAGATGCAATGCACAGAGCTCCATTATTCAGCTTAAAACTTCTTAATATCTCACTAGATATACTTTTTTGCAACTTAGGGAGTTATTCTACCCAAGCGTTAATACACAGACCATTGTTCTATTTGTCCTTTCTCTCTACTTCTTGTATAATTTTTCTGCTGACAAATCTTATAGCTACTGCTCAGCTCTAATCACCATCCTGCTGTCTCTGAGGCCTGCCTTTGCAACATGCCCAAACACTCTGATTTTAAGGAATCCCACAGGATAACTCTCCAATGTTCGCAATGCAGTTCTCTTGGATACTGGGGAAATCCCCAGAGAACATTCCTACGGGGTGTCCAGGCACCATTTTCCCCACAGAGTAGTTGGCATTGCTGCTGCCTCAGACCCAGGGCTGGGATGGTTGGACATGGGGACACTTATGAGCAGCTTTCAGAAAGAATGTGGGCATTGCAAGGGCACTTGTGTGAGAAATTTCATTGCCATTGAGAAAGACAGTCATAAATCATTTTTGACAAAGCAAGTATTGTTGTCTTAAGGGATCATGTGATTTTTTTGGAAAATCATATCTTAAGTGCCTCTGAAAGCTTTATTTTCAACATTTAATCTTGAGAAGTATAATTTACTAACAGCAAGAATATGTTATGAGACACTTAGAATGAAGGCGTGCAAGGAAAGAATGAAGATTTTTCCTAATATGTCCTGAGTGGAACAGCAACAGAAATATAATTAAAATTATAGTAATAAGAGCATAATAAAATAACCTTAGCTGTGCAGATACTTCTTCCTTTTGCCAATGTCTGACTTGTGAAATAGAGCAGGAAGCATGATGAGGAGTAGCTGTTATAAAAATTTCATAGATGGAACCTGAAATTAAGGTTATTCCTGCATCTGAATGGCTGTTCTTCATCTGATGACATTCCCTCTATCATTTTTGCATGAAAGAGTCTCTAAAAGCAATAATAAAGGAGTCTCTAGATGCTTTGTTTCAGGGATGCCTTGTGCCAATAACCCACTGTCAGAGATATTTTTGGAGAATTTTCCTGGCACATGAGATTTAGTTCCACTGTACAAAGGAGTGAGTGAAAAACAATATACAAACATATCACAAAACCATTATACAAACAATATAAAATACACATAGTAAATTCCATAGGAAGTTTCCATAAGAATTTTTTATTACTCATGCTTAAAGCTGTGCAGTTACAGTGTATTTGTGCACCTGTGCTCTACTCTTTGCTTATGATACCACCCATTGTCTCCAATCTTGTAGAGATGGGCAGGTGCAAATCTGGGCTGATCTTGAAGACGGACAGGTGGAAGGAAATTGCAAAGGAACAGATGTGCTTTCTGTCTGCCAATAGAACAGAACAGAACAGATAAATATTCTATGCTATTTTTGGGGTTGTATTGTATTTTTCCTTTAAACCTGTATTGTGTTAAATGTATACAAGTCTGTTAAAAATTCTCCATTGAGATCTTCATCAACTGAAGTGTAGTAAAGCTGTCCCTTGAAAATTCTCAATTTTTGCCTGCTTGTGTGTTCAAGTTTTCCAAATGTCCTTCTAGGTGGCTGTTTTGAAGCATTGTAGCTGGTAGTCCTACTGCTAGAGGTGCTAAATGTGCATTTATGTGTAAATGTTATATTATTAACCGGGCCTAAATGATTGTATTAAGTGCTAATTGAGGCTGTCCTAAGTCTGGTATTATAATAGTTTCTGACCAAGTTGTCTCAAAAAAACAAAGATCGAGAGTGGTGCACTTGACCTACTTTATTGTCAACATGGTTAATCATGTGAGAGATATTCCTGATAAATTGTTAATTGTGGTTTACTTACTGCAGAACAAAAATTCCTCTTACAGAGATCAATGGGAATGTGTACTGTAATTTATTTCCTGAGTTATTTCTTTGTAAGGTCAAGACCTGAATTGGGAATGATGTGAACTGACACTTTAGGCAAATACTTGCTGACTTTCACTTCCAGCAAGGTCATGCTACTTCTTGTAGTTAAGAGCATTGTAGCTACCTCACCAGATTTCAAACAATGAACTTTTTGAAGTGATCAAAAATAGTTATGTTGACAACACAAGCCATACCACTTTTTGATATTACTAATCATTTATGTACTTGACTCCCATTTGTAATGCTCTTATTTCTGTGACTTGCTTTACAAAACTCAAATTGCTCCCCACTACCCAAACTTTGATTTGTGCCCTTTTGTCACTTCTCTGCTCATTTATTTCTGTTTTCACATTGTATTTATTTCATTACTGCTAATTTCCATTTTTTTTCCTCAATGTCCCAAGTTCTTCTAGTTTTGCCTCACATGCTATGCAGGGCTCCCATAGAATCTCAGAATCATTGAATGATTTGGGTTGGAAGGAACCTTAGAGGTCATCTCATTCCATCCCCTTTGCCATGGGGGACGGGTTGCACAAACATGTGCTTGAGAATTGCTAGTTCTTTCCTGCCATGGGCAGGAACACCTTCCACTAGACCAGATTGCGCAGAGCCTCATCCAACTTGCCCTAGGGATGGGGCACTCACAGCTTCTTAGGGCAAATTGTGCCAGGGCCTCATCATCCTCTGTGTAAAAAATGTCTGCCTTATGTCCAACCTAAATCTACCCTCTTTTAGTTTAAAACCATTGTCCCTTGTCCTATTACAACAGGCCCTGCTGAAAAGTTTATTCCCATCTTTCTTATAAGCCCCCTTTAAGTACCAGAAGGGCAAAAAAAGTCTCTCTGTTCTAAGAGGCAATGGCATTTTGTGTTTCCAGAGGTTTTCTTCAGTTCTCTGGACCAGTTCCAGACTTCTCTCAAGAGTTTTCAATTCAGCATACATTCAAAGCCAAGGCTTCCCCTGGTATTTATGAGCTACCTTCTGGTGAAGCAGAAATTACAGAGTCACAGTTCCATGACAAATACACAAGTAATAACCATATATTGCTTGTGGATACAGCACAGCTGTAAATTAGCAGAATATCCAACAATTTTAGAGTTAAGTCCTCAGCACAGAGTTTTCATTTCATTCAAGTGAAAATTTGAATGTGAAGTTGAAAAAGAAAGTTTAGGTATGTGATTGAAGTGCTTATCCTGAAGACATCAACACCTGGTAAAGCTATGTGGAAGCTCTTATAATAAAAACCACACTGAATTATTAAGTTTGTATTTAAAAGTTCATAGGTAAATAGGATAATTCTGTGTAACCCTTTCTCTAAAATGGTGTGCTTAATAAGTTTTTGTATGAGTTGCTGAAAACCTCTACCAATGAAGGTGTTTTTATTTCCTAAAGGAAACAATTTTAAATTAAGTAATTAAACCAGCAAAGCTTCTTCCTGAAAAGAATATTCCCTGACAAACCCTATTTTTAATTCTTCTTGCAGAATTCCTGAATTCATTGAAAATATTTGTGATTTATTATAACAAACAATTTGCTCTCCAAACAAGGAAATTACAAAGCTGGAAGTCTGTTCATTGTTGCATGTCTTCAAATAAGATCTAATCAGACAAAAACAATTATATAGAGTTTTGCATTAAGAATATAGAATATTTGATCTTTTTCTTTATAGACAGTAAATTCTTGACTCGTGGTTTTTTTTTCTTTTTAGGATATATTTGACAGTGACTGGTATACTTCCTGCAGGCTCATTGGAGGAGCTGATATTATTGTGATTAAATATTCTGTCAATGACAAGACTCCATTTCAAGAACTGAAGGACAGTTATGTGCCAATGGTAAAAAAAGCCTTAAATCACTGCTCAGTTCCAGTAATAATTTCTGCTATTGGTGCAAGAAAAAATGGTATGTATCCAGCCTCCTGTAACAACAGATAAAATCTCATTTGGAAGTTGGGTATAGTGCAATTTCAGTAGAAGCTGGTTGTTTTTCCAAGCTGCTAACAGAAACAATTAGTCTGTCAGGATGACAGTAATATGCATATGTATTTTGGCCCTCTAGACTGATGTGCTGGCAAGAACACTGTGCCTAGTCAACCCCAGTGATGAAAGGCAACATATCCTTCTTCGACCTCTGTAATGACTCTTCTTGTGGAGCCACCACACATGAGGATTAAATCTAATAATTTGGATTAAGCAACATATATTTGGGTATAAAGTATCCCTAGAGTATGAGATTTAAATTATATCCTGCATTCTGAAAACAGTGGAGAGTGGGTAGGAAAAGCCTAGAAATTCTCTGGGACCTTTTTCCTAAAACAGTGACTGAAAACCACAATCCTAGCTTGTCTTTTACTTCATGATACTTTACTAAAATAAATGTTTCTGAGCATCCCTCCTTTTAATGAGTAAGAAACATGATGAGCATAGATGTAGACATTTATTTTTGTACTAACATAGAAATATTAATCCATATGAAATATACTTCCTCTGTGGATGGAATGCTCAGTGTTGCTAAGGTCTACTTATAAATCTTTTAGCTCAGTGACAGATATAGGACAATTAAAGAGCTGCATAACAGTTAAATATTTATTTTTTTCCATTTAGTAATTCAGTGATCACAACCAAAAGTTTTCATGCTCTGATTTATATAGGAGTAATAAATCTCCCATTCTAAGGGCAAGGTCTTTGTAAATTGTTTGTATTCCCCAAGCATTTCCTTACACTTTGTGTTTAAGAACAGGATGTCACCAAATTGAGTAGTTTTTTTGTTTTTTTGGTTTTTTTTTCCACTTAGTTTTTTCTGTGTTCCTCCCTAAATAATGTGGTCATGAGAGACATCAGGCTGGACTCTGGATTTGCCCTGGGACCTGTCAGAGCAAACTGCTGTGTATACACAGAACCTTTTTGTTTCTCGGAGGTATTTGTGAATACAGCAGTTTGCTCATACAGATTACTAAGATATTAATCCTCTGTAGTGGTAAATGCTGCTGACAAAACAAATTATTAAAAAAACAACAGAAAAAGCTGTTTCATTACGTTATCTATAGGTCTAGGCAGAGGACATTAGCGCAGAGCATGCACAGCACATTTGAAAGCACATCCATTGCTGGCATATTCTTACTGTCATTAAGCATACCTGACCCAGTGTGGCTAGAAGATTTTTAGCATTTAAATGGCATAATCTTAAAAGTACCTATTTTGTTTTTTTAAAAAATATATGTGAAATACATGTAAATTAATCAGATCCTGCAGTACATACAAACCCATCAAGGGTTTGGTCTGGAGTGAAAATTTTCTTCTTTCACTACTGTGTGTATTTCCTGCATGGACAGGCCACAATAATTCAACAGGTTTAAGGGTGACATTCATGAATGATAACACCTGAAGGCTAGTACAAGACCTGGGCATGAAAAGGTATTGAGCCAAAGCCAAATCTGGCATCCATAAGTCTGGCTGGACTCTTCCACCTTAACAAAACCAATAAAGTAATGCTAATGTAATGTATGCAGAGGTTTGTATATTGACTAGTATTTTGAATTGATTAATATGAAGCTGTGTTTTTTTTCTGTAATTATAGATTTCTTATTATAAAATTCCTATGTTTTAATTTCCCTCTTTGTTCTCCTCTAAGTAATATATCTTTACAGTTATTTAGGAATCTAAGAATTCTGCATTATTTGGCCAGAATGGTTCTTTTTCATAACTTTTTACCCCAGGAGTGTCTTGCACCTGTCCCCTGTGCACTTCAGACAGAAAGAGCTGTGTCACAACCTCCGAAGGAGTTCAACTTGCTAAAGAACTCAGAGCCACCTACCTTGAACTGCACACTCTTGATGACTTCTACATCCAGAAATATTTTGGAGGAGTGGTGAGTGAGAATCTGCAGATTTGGAAACAGGGTGGAACATGCATGAGATGCATGACTGATGTGAGAGCTTCAGAGAGCCAAGGGAGGCACACATATGGGCCCTACCACCAAGTGCCAAGATCCCACCAATGCAAAATTCAAGTTAGATATTAGAAAGAAATTCTTCACTGTGTGGGTGGTCAGACAGTGGAACAGAATGGTCAGGGGAGCTGTATTCTTGGCAGTATTCTTAACTGCATTGGATGGGGCTTGGAGCAACCTGATCTAGTGGAAAGTGTCCCTGCCCATGGCAGGGGGATTGGAACTCAGTGGTCTTCTAGGTACTTTCCAAGCCAAACCATTCTATGATTCTATGAGTCTATGATGCTATCTGAATTAGCATTACCAAGGTTAATCTGGTTTTAAGTAGGAAGATTTAGGGAAGCCATTTGACACACTGCGGTAAGTTTTCCACTTGTATTCTTGTCCTTTTTCCTTGCTGGATAACACCCAGCTAAATGAGACCATTCCCCAAGATACAATTAGTATCTAAACAGGTTGGTAAATTTAATATCTTTGTGTCTGTCAATTCTAGGAAGATTAAATACACAAGAATTAACCACAATCATTTGAATAAATAGTCTTTTAAATTGTGCTAGTTCTATTTAAATATGGTAGCTTCTTGTTAGGAGTTTTGGGACTCTCCCAGATGACTGGTAATAATGTCAGTAGCTTCAGCCCTGCATACAGAAGCTGTTATACCCCTTAATTTGATGTATAGGTTGTTATTAAATAACAAGGATTTTAAAAATATATATTTCTTGTCTTAGCTGGAATATTTTATAATCCAAAGTTTGAATCGGAAGTCATCTGAAAAAATGAAGAAAAGGAAAAAGATGCAGAAGTGCCATCGAGTCCAACCACCTCAGCTTGAACAGCCAGGTGATCATTGATATCTGGTCCCTAGTATAATTCCTTATGTGTGTCACTTTTTTTACACAATTAATATTTTTTCTACATATTTTAGTAACAATTGTTACTATGAGCTGTGCTATCTATTGTCAGCTGTTCTGATTATGTTGCATCATCTTTTAGTGATGATTCAATTTACTTGGGGATAATTGTATGGCAATATATAACTTTGCAATGGATTTCTAGCTTATTTTAGATATAACTAATAGGAATGGTTTTCTGCTGGACTTGATAAAAACTTTACATAAAATCTTAACAGACAAATTACAAAAGAAAGTTGTTAGCACATGAATTATTATTCTACAGTATAATCAAATAGTGTTTTTGTTTGCTGCACATAAAGCAAGGGAGAGAAGTACACACCTTTATGTGATTTCTGAGCATCTGATGCATTTGTTTAGTAAAAAAATTACTGACAAGTAGTTACCTCTAAATCTGTAGTTGTCTCTTTTTCCATGTTCTAAAAATTTGCTCAGACCTCTTAGATTTGGAATACACAGTCTAAGTTTCTTTATAGTGTAACTTTCATGAAAGGACAGACACATAGCATTAAACTGTTTCTTAATTTACTTACTGTACTAAGTATTTCCATTTTTAGAGAATTTTACTCAAGATATTCAAACAGCATATAAGAAATATTTTTACTGAATATCTCCTTTAAAAATTAAACTGACCTAATAAGGTCAATTGTCCTGTGGTTAGCACTTGCTAAGGTTGCAACCTGAGCTCTTTTGCAGAAAAGATGCCGATCCTGAAGGGCGAAGCCTCGCACTACAATGCAGACCTGCACAATCTGCTCTACTGCTGCCAGTGTGCAGATGTGGCCTTTTACCCTGAGGACCTCAGCATGGCGGTAGAGGCTCACAAGATCATCCTCTGCTCTGTCAGCCACCTCTTCATGCTACTCTTCAGGGTGAAGAGCCCATCCAACACCCATGACACCTTCATCATACAGCTGGCACAGAGCCTCTTCACAGTGGAGGTGGGGGATCTCTTCCCCTCCTCCCTCCGTGATGTACCACCCTGTGTCCCACCAGTCAGGGTAGTGGTGAAGGATTCTGTCTTCTGTTCTTGTCTCCCAGACATCCTCCACTTCATCTATTCAGGTACCTGCTGGGAACAGATCTGGCTACTCATTTCCTATTGTCTCATGAAGGAATACATGCATCACACTAAGGAACATGGCTTTGCTGTCGCTAGATGATACATCACCTTGTTTCCATACCTATTTTAACCCTTGTGATTACTATGCACAATGGAAAAAAACCATCACCTATAACAAAAACTTAAATTATTGTAATTCCAGATCTAATGGGCCTAAGTTAAATTAGTCCATAGGCTAGCATCAATAATATCCAAAATTTTGCCAAAAAAATTTGGCATTTGAGTCAGTTTCAGATCCTAGATTTTTAAAATACATGCAAATGGTTGCATGTTCTAAACACAGGGGCAAGAGTGCAGAGTTACTTAAGAAAACTCAATTTTTATTCTGAGTATGGTGCAACTGAAGAGAAAACAGTGATAAGTGGCTGGAGTGTGAAGACTTCTGATGTGTTGCATGACTTTTGCTACCAGTTGGTACAGGCTGCGACCTCATCTACCTAATGCCAGCTATTAAAATGGCACTGATATTTTTTTAGATTTTCAGATGTTGCTTAAAAGTCTTCAGCAGAAATATTTGGGGTTTTTTTCTGGAAGTAGCCAATGCCTGTTTGTTCTCCATGAAATATTTTTCAGCCTGTTAGAGAATCTTTCAGCTTTCAGTTGGAATTTGTACATCAAAGGCAGTTCTTTCCAAAATAGTAACAAACGTAAAGAACAGATGAAGAAGTTTTTCACTGAAAAAAATCCCTGAATAGATTTTTTTTTTTTGTTCTTATTTATTGCAGGAAAGGATGGGGGATTAAAACTGGATTTTCAGCAGGGGATAAATACAGTATTTTTAATTCATAGAATAATTTAATAATTTGGGTTGGAAAAGACCTTTAAGATTATCGAGTCCACCCATTAATCCATCACTGCCAACCAAGCCCATCACTTAAATCATGTCCCAGTGTGCCGCATCTTTGAAGTGCCTCCAGGGATGGTGACCCTACCACTGCCTTGGGAACTTTTTCCACTGCTTGATAATCCTTTAGGTGAAGAAGTGTTCCTGATATTGAATCTAAACCTCCCCTGTTGCAATTTGAGGCTGTTTCCTCTTGTTCTGTCACTTATTACCTGGGAGAAGAGACTGTCCCCAGCCTGGCTACAACCTCCTTCCAGGCAGTTGGCCAGAAGGTGGCAAGTTCACCCCTGAGCCTCCTTTCCTCCTGTCTAAACATCTTTGTAAATATCTTCATCTGTTACCATCTACAGCTTGTGTCTAGTGCCTTGTGTGCACTAATTTTCCCTTTTTACTTTCTTTTTTGTCAGCCAAAGAGCTGTGAAACTGTGCAGTTGTAGGCAGAACTCTGCCTTACTCTCAGCTCCCAGCCTGAGGGTCATTGTGGCTTTTGGTGCCCCTGAGACATGAAGGTGCTTGAGGTACAGGCTGAGAAGAGAACAAATCATGAGTTTTCAGATTGTTCAGGACTATGACATGATGCCCATGAGGTTATAAACCCTTATCCAGTGTGGTATAGATGGGAGATAATTGAGCTGAGGATGCTGTGTGTTGTAGGGACTGATTGAGCCTCTTGACAGCAGAGCATCTTCAGGGCTGTGCTGAGTTGGGCTTGTCACTGAGCTTGATCTATTTCTGTCTCCTTTTTGTCCTGGATTAGAACTGAAAATTTCCACAAAGTCCCACGGTGCACCTGAGACTTACACCAGCAAGCTGCATGAAGATAAACTATCTTTGTTTTTACTCTCTTCATTTTTCCAAGAAAGCTTTTGAGACACTTCAGTGAATGTCATGGCTTTGTCTGGGAAAGCAAGAATAATTCTACTGCAAACTTTGTGCTGATTATAGCTATGAGGACTGAGAATGTAACTGTGCATTAAATTTTTCTAGTTCAGAACCCTGTAGAACAATGAAGCCAGCAGCACAGGCAGAAGTTAAAAAAATTCCATAAATATTGAAACATTAAGGATTTTTTTTTCTGAATCTCTACCTGCAATATGTAGTGACTGAACTGGAAGTAATTAATACACTGAGTGTGAAAGCAAGTGAGATGCTCTAGTCTGTTGGTACTTCATTGCACTATAAAAAGTACCATGGAAATTTCATGTGCAAAAATTGCATTGTACCCTTTCCTAAAAGCAAAGGTCTGGGTGATTTATGTACAAACCCCCTACCATTTCTGCAGGATGTGTTTGGCATTGATGTCATTTTTCCTCTGCCTGCTGAGGTCTGTGCCATGCTGATTTATAATCTGAACTCCCCCTGGTTTTGTGGTAGGTGCTTTCCAGTGGGAACTATTAGAAGAGGACATAAGAAAGAAGCTGAAGGATCCAGATAAAACAGAACACGTGCTTGAGAAAGTAAAATTCATCCTGAAAACTCCAGGGAAGGTACATCTAACTCCCTTGGGTCACCATTAGTTACTTAAGTTTTTGAGGGATTGTTTTGTAGGCAAGGTTTTCTTGTCAGTCTTTGTTTTAAAGTCATTTTGGATCAAACAGCCTGTAGTATTTAATGCTTTCAGTGTGTTGTTTGCAGGCACATACACAGAGATCCACATGTAACATGCAGAATTAATGTAATTGGTAAAAATCACAATAGCAGGTATTCTAAAAGGATTACTCGTATTCACAGCTTTGAACATTGTCTGTCAATATGATTATGGGTTGCTAATTCCCATGTAATAGAGGCTGCCCAGGAAAGATTTGCTCCTGAACATAAGCCAAAAGTTAGGATTCTACAGTAGATCCACAGGGGTGGTTTCTCATGTAAGTTCTGTGTTTGGAAAACTGTCTGTAACTCAGTAGAAGATCACACAAAAAAAGTAACATATTATTATGTTAATAAAAAGTCACAATGTAGAATTAGTTTTAATATAGAATTCATTTTTACAGACATTTTTTCTTGGAGCATATACATTCCCTCATAATATAGAACTTGCTCTAATAATTTCTGTTGATTTAGAAGGGCAAATCTCTCAGATTCTCTTGGAACAATACAATATAGACATCAAAAAGTCACTGAACTGTTTTCAGCTTATGACTGCTCTGTCTTAGGCTTACCAGCCCACAGCTAAAACATTTATAGGTTTGGCCTTTGGCCTTTTAAGATAGTGAGCCTGAACTGTTGTCATTTCTTTTATTCTTTTTTTATGCTTTCAGGGTACTCTTATTTCACATTTAAGCATTTTTTGGAGGCCAAAAGGAAGGAATTATGATTTTTCTTAGTAAAACTAAAGAATTTATAAATTTAGCATTTTAACCATAAATTCAACTTCATCTGAATTTCACTTGTCACAATCTAGCAGCATGATTAATATTGTTTCTTTTAGCAGCTTTAGATTACATTTTTAAGGTAAGAAAAACAAAACTAAGAACTAACTGAGAGTACTGGGTCTTGGAGGGTCTTAACACTACCAGGTTATTGTAAGAGGAGTCTGTGCTCCAGCCTGTGAGCTCCCCCTGCCTCTGTCAAAGCAATTCCAGGGCAATATAAACATGGAACTTCCAGCTGTCTTGCCTCTGTACATCACACTGTGGGGTGGATGTGTATCTCATCCCTACTCCTCCCTGAGCCCTCAAACCTTTTGCTGCAGCATTGGGTCTGGACAGGGAATGCATGCAAAGGTTTGGACTCCAGAAAACTGATGAAGCCCGACCTGCCTGTAGGGAGGTGGGGGAGTTTTGTCAGAGGTCAAGATTACCAAGAATAGAGCTGAGATGTGACTGTGAGGGATAAGAGACCCCTCAGAGATGCTGCACTTCCTGGAATAGGAAATTAGAAGACAAAAGGTGATTGCAGAGGAATGCACATGCCAGAAGCTGTTGTTTATTTTCCCATATGAATGATGTCCCATAATATTTAGTTCTGTGGGCATCCACACATGACAGCACTTTATTACCGATTTATTTTTCAGGTAAACACTATAAAGGACTGCAACTCTCACCAGATAAAACGTCTGTATAATACTTCTCTCAGGCTATTCTTCAACACACCTGTGCTAGCTGATGTAATCTTCAAAATACAAGGTACAGTACCTCTGCTCACTTAGCCTCCAGTCTTTATCCTTGTTCCCCTCTTCAGAAATGTAGGATATAGAGGTGACCATGTTCCATAGCATCAAAACTAAGGAAATAAGAGTGCTTTGCTGTCACTGTGGAAAGCAGGGAAAGCTTGTCACTATGGATGCCCTGTAGCAGTGTCCACTCCTAGCACTGTTCATGTGGGCTGATCCTGTAGGAATTCCCTCTCCCTGTCACGGAACATTGTCCCTCCCTGATTTACACTATTTTTTATTCTCTTTTATTATATTTTTGTTTACTCCATTGTGTTTTGCAGTATTTTATTTTATTTTATTTTAATCTCAATCCTGTTCCCAGCTGCACAAGCACTAGGACACACTAAAGGGCTCTCCCTAACATCAGACCTGGGAAAGGCTTGAGCTTTATCTCTGTGCTTGTTGCCCCCATTGAAAAGAGCAGATTTGGTGGTTATTGGCTCCTGCCAACATTGCCCTTGTCCCCTCAGAAGCTGACAGGGACTTGCTTCACTGTCGTTGCCACCAGGGTTTGGTGAACTGCAGATCTGGTGCCACTGACACCTACCACATTTCACTGCCTGATGTTCTGCAGTGTCAGGATTCAGTGTCTTGTGTGGAAATTAAATGTGTTCATTGTTGCAATGAAAGATGCAGTATGAGAAATGTGTTGCATACTTTTGTGAGAATAAAAATGAGATGGCTTTTAAAAGCTAACACTATTCTCCATCTGTCCATACTCACCCTTCATGCAGAAATGGCCTTCTAGAATTAGATAATGTTTTAATTCTTTTCAGATGTATATCTCAGGGACAAATATGAAGCATTAACTCCTCAAACATAAGCACAGAAGGACAAGCAGACTCTTTCTAGGTGTTCTGTTTAACACTTAGGAAAGACGCCACAAAAATATCTTTGTAAAGGAGAGGAAAATACTGATTTTGAGCTCAATGACATGAACAACTCACCTCAGTGTCCCTCTTCTGAGAAAGTCTTTGTGGAAAGCTGATGAAACCAGAACAACACTATATATTTTAGAGAAAGAAAACCCAAATCTCTGAATGGGTTGACAAGTATTTTTAACAAAGCATGCTTATCCACTAATAAAATGTGAACTGTTTTTCTAATAATTGATGACAAATTTTTTTCTCTAATTCGAGTAACTGTTTCAAAATTAAATAACTACTAAGAGAAAATGAAGGCAGTAATCTTAACTAGACAAACAAATTTGTACGTTTTTGAGCAATTTCTTAGATACTTAGCACTGCTTTGAGTTTTCTAGCCTAGGGAAGTATGAGAGCCAGGAAAAACAGGAGCCCATTATGTCTGTGTAAATACATAGAATGTGACTGAAGATTTTAACTAGTCGATAAATGTCCATTCACAAGCACATACAGGACACATAGCATGCATCTTAGACATTTTGAAAGTAGAAGTACAGGGAGTAGAAACAGAACAAAAGACAAAAAATGCCAGAAGGCTTCAAAGAATTACTCAGGTGTCAATGTTGTGGTTAAAGATATAATTAACTTCTTTCTAAGTACATACAGTATATTGCATGTCACTTGATCTGTTTATTATAATTTTGATTAAAACATTTACATCCAACTCCAAATGCTTATTTTGGTTTTGGTTACTGTCCTGACTGGCACTTGCTTGGCACTTCCTTGCATACTGAGCTGGACTGCTCAGTCCAGGTGGACTCTGCAGCCTGAAAGGCCTCTGCCACCCTGGGCTTTTGGCCTCTCCAGGTCTTCCAAATGCTGTAGTAAAGCAAAGAGTTCACTTGCAAATAGTAGAAAATTAATAAATTTCTAGAAAAAAATCATCAGTGTTTTTTTCATGAGACTACAATTAATGAAATTCACTTAGGCACTGTATTTAACCTAGTTAAATTTATACTTACTTACTGAACTCAATGGAATTTCATCTGGAAAAATTTGCCTTTTTCTGCTTTGTGTGGTCATTCTGTACAAATATTAATTATCAGCAGGGTTACTGGTAAACATAAATGACTCTTCATAGAATCACTCATATTGGAAATTATTGCATAACAATTCATAACACTTCATATTATGAAGTGGGCTGGAGGTTCAGTTAGTGTGAACAGATTATTATCAGTTGGTTTAGTCTATTGCATTTTGGTTTAATTAATTTTTTTGTTTGTTGATTTTGTTTTATTTTACTATTCATTAGTCATCTTAACTAGTATGGAGTGAGTGTGTTCTTAGTTATTGCCAACTTTCAACACTTGAATCATTTTCAGTGAGATGAAAACCTCCTAAGAAGACATGAGCTTTAAAATTAAGATCTTTCTGTGTTATATAAAGTCATTGTATATTTATTTTTGTCTTGCATCCTGCAGGTTCAACTGTACCAGCCCACAGGGCAGTTCTGGTGGCTCGCTGTAAGGTTATGGCAGCTATGTTTAATGGCAATTATCTAGAAGCAAATAGCATTCTGGTTCCAGTGTATGGGGTTTCCAAAGACACTTTCCTGTCCTTCTTAGAGTACCTTTACACTGATTCTTGCTGCCCAGGTAAGGAAACTGTAAAATATAGTTCTATATCTGTAACTTATTTTTCCATAGCAGGGCATTGATCAAGAGTAATGTAGCAGTGCCTATTTAATTGAAAAATGCCAATATTTGAATGTGCAATGTCTCAAGAAAGATAACTTTTTTGTATTGTGCAATAAAAAAAGAAATCTGTCCTATACAAGTAAAATAGAAGAAATATTTCTAATAAAATTATTTGTTTTGTGCTCACAAAACAAGACTCAAAGAAGTTGCAATTTCACTTCTGATCCATTATAGTATTTATAATTTTCTTTTTACATTACAGCATTACTGCTTTCTAGTTTGGATTCTGCATTATATTTAAAAGTTGTCACTTCTTGAACATGCATAGAGCTGAGTTTATAATAAACAAGGTTAAACTGCAGGAATACCTTACTTATACACATGGTTATCTTATGTGTATGTAAGCCCAGAAAAAATATGCCAACAGGAGTGTTTGGCAAGAAAAATTGAGCTAAAATATTCTTTATGTCCCAATCTTTATCTTTCTTATGAGAAGGAAATCTGAATACTAAATCTAAAACATAATTTAAATGTCACTAATTTTTCCTTTATATAATGAATAAAACTACATATCAAAATATGTAGTTTTGCTTTTATTTTCTTTTGAAATAGTTATTCTAGCTTGTTCTTAGATATTCCATGTTTCTCTTTTCACTCCACCTAATATTTCCTTGTTTATCAGTTTAAAAATGCAACCACTGTGCTATATTTAAAAAAAAAAATGCCTCTCTTTTTCTGTCTTTGGACTTTGGCTATATTTTCTTTTATCATAAAAGTGCTTTTCTGAAAGAGAACTTAGCAAAATCCACACATTAATTCTCAGTTACTCGAAATAGATCAGCAGCACTTGACTCATCGTCTTCAAGATCCACAATATTGACAGCAATTCTCTACATCTATCTGCCAGAAAGTTCTTAACACATTTTTCTTCTTAATTGAATATCTTATCTGGAAAAATAAGGGGATACAGCAAACAAAAATTTATAATAATAAAAAAATAAAACAAGGTGATCACAGCAGTCTGATTTTGTGTTTGTTGTTAGGTATTTAAAATTCAATGTGGTGAAAGTAGTGTTGGTCATCTTGTCAAAAAGGTAAAATACATGTAACTTTTGTTTTCTTGGTTTTCAGACAATATTCTCCAAGCGATGTCTCTGCTGATCTGTGCAGAGATGTACCAAGTGATGAGACTCCAGCACATTTGTGAGCTTTACATCATCACGCAGCTTCAGAGCATGCCTAGCAGGGAACTGGCTTCCACAAGCCTCAGTATTGTTAGCTTGCTCAAAAAAGCTAAGGTACTTATTGTATATATCAAATGAGAATATATATGTTGATTTAATAAGTTGTTTTAGAAATTTAAAAAATATTTAGAGCAATTTCTGTTTCCAAGGAAACATATTGGTATAAAATTTGTTTACTAGGGATAACTGGTGACACAAGGGTGGCCAGAAGAATCTTTTAGCCTTTAATCATAGAATTGCCTCCACTGTACACAAGCCTGCTTCAGAGCTTGACAACCTTTACCACAAAGAAATTTTTCCTACTATTCAACCTAAACCTCCCAGGCATAACCTGAGGCTGTTTCATCTTGTGCCGTCACTTTTTATCTGGGAGCAGAGACTGACCCCCACCTGTCCACAACCTCCTTTCAAGGGAGTTGTAGAGAGTGATAAGGTCGTCCAGAGCCGCTTTTTTTTTTCCCCGAATAAAATCCCCACATCCTTCAGCTACTTCCCATAAGATTTGGGCTCCAGATCCTCTAGTCACACCCTCATCTGTGGAATTTCCTTTATCATGGACACACTGCAGTAATTCAACTTAACTACAGCTTCTTCCAGAAAAGAGGGGTTTTAGGCAAGTAAAGATAACACTCGTTCTACTTTTAGTCAAAAAACTAAATTATGTGGCATGCAGGTGACAAAGGAGATCCAACTGCATAGAATATTGAGAGAAATGCAAAAGAGCAGGAAAAGAAAAGATTAGAGGCTGAAAAAATAAAAACAATAAAGGCAGATTTGAAAAACAGAAGAGGAAAACAAAAACTAAATTGCAGAATATTGCCTTAATCAAATAGGATTTTCTGCTGAAACAGGAGACCACAAAACCAACATGCCACATTCCTTCCCTCCAGTCCTGCGAAGCTCTGCCTCTGTGCAGATGTCAAAATTTCCAAGATGCATGATATCGCAGGTGTTTTTTCTATCTCTGTGAGAGGGACTTTGTTAATTTGTTCTTGGGTGTTCACCTGTTTACGTATTTCCATTAAATAACTTTTCCTTCATTATCTTCCATAGTCAACACTTTATTTAGTAAATTGCTTAAACGAAAAATATTTTTATATGTGAGATGTGGTTATGTTTTAGATGTTTTGTCTTTTCCTTCTTCCCACAGTTTCACAATTCTGATTGCCTTTCAACTTGGCTTCTTTATTTTATTGCCACTAACTACCTCATCTTCAGTCAAAAGCCTGAATTTCAAGAACTTTCAGGTATTTTTCTGTTCATTTTGAAGAGACACATGTTTTATATTTTTCCAAGATGAAAAGTGATGTTCTGGATAATACCATTTGTGCATGAGAAAATAATTAGGGTTTCTTTAGGATATTTCAGCAGGATGTTTCACCATCCTGCTGTGGGATCAGCATACAACATGACACAGCCAGCCCTGCATCACTATTTTTATGGTTCCTATTGGGATAGCCAGGTTCCCACCCATAACTGAATTTGCTGGAACAGTTTGGTCATCGTATGTCAATGTCCTCATGTTATCTTACTAATTTAAATCAAGGTAATGGGTCATTTTTGAGACTTCTTCAAGTGCTGGGGTTTTCCTTTAAAAAAATAGGATTCTTACAGTATGCTCCAGCAGATCTTATAAAATAAAAAAATGATGGCCTGTTCAAATAAATAAATACATCTTCTTCCAGGGATCTGGTATTTATATTTCCAAACATTTGTATTTGCTTCTGGTGGTGTAACTAGAAAGTTTTGTTCATTGCCTGTGTGATTTCCTTCACCCTGATGAGGGTTGCATCTCTTTGACCTGGATACATTTCTTTGACCTGTGACACCTCATCACCTTTAGGTTTAGGACAGCAACACAGCAGCAGGCAGTGGCTCTCCAGGGGCTTTCCAAGACCTGAGACCTTCACAGAAATGCAGAATTAGCTGAGTTGGAAGAACACACAAGGATCAATGAGTGCAGCTCCTGGTCCTGCACAACACCATCCCCAAGAGTGAAATCATGAGTATTTTCCAAAAGCTTCATGAACTCTGTCAGGCTGGTGCCATGATCATTGGCCTGGGGAGCCTGTTCAGTGCCCAAATACACACTGGGGAAGAATCTTTCCCTAATCCAGCCTAAACCTCCCTGACACAACTTCAGGCCATACCCTTCAATCCTCTCACAGAAAAGGAGGGGCAGACACTGATCTTTTTTCACTGGTCACCACTGAGAACAGATCAGTGTCTTCCCCTCCTTTTCTGCTCTGCTTCTCTTCTTTCCCTCACAAGGAAGTTCCAGACCCTACTGAGGTCTCCCCTCAATCTCCTCCAGGCCAAACAGACCAAGTGCCCTCAGATGCTCCTCACACAGCTTCCACTCTTTACTGCCCTTCTTTGGACACACTAATAGTTTAATGTCATTCTTATACTGTAGCACCCAGTCTGCCCCAGACTTGAGGAGGTGTCATCCCAGTGGCCAGCAGAGCAGGACAGTCCCCTCCCTTGCCTGGCTGGCCATGCTGGGCCTGGTGCCCTCAGGACACAAATGTCACTCCTGGCTGCCAGGGCACTGCTGACTCAACTTGTCATCGACCAGAACCCCCAGGGCACTTTCCAGGGCACTGCTATCCAACATCTCATTCCTCAGTCTGTCCATACATCCAGGGTTGTCCCATCCCAGGTGCAGAGTCCAGCACTTTCCCTTTTTGAACTTCCTATGCTTGGTGATCACCCAGTCTTCTAATCTATTGAGGCCTCTCTGCAGGGTCTCCCTGCCTTTGAGGAAGTCAACAGTTCCTCCCAGATTTTTGGCATCTGCAAATTTGCTCAGTGTTTCCAGTCCTCCATACAGGTAATTTATGAAGATGTTGAAGAGCACAGGACCAAGGATGGAAGCCTTTGGAACCCCATTAGTGACAGGTCCCCAGTCTGATGTCACCCCAGTCATTGTAACCCTTTGTGCCTGTGAGCCAGTTGTTCACCCTTCACACGATGTGTTTATCCTACTATGGGCTGGACATTTTGTCAAGAAAGATCCCATGAGAAACAGTATCAGAAGCTTTATTGACATCCAAAAACATTACACCAACTGGCTTCACTTGATCAATTAGGTGGGTTACTTTGCCATAGAAGAAATCAGATTTGACTAGCAGGATATTCCCCTGAGGATTGAAGCCCTGCCTTGTGCCCAGGTTAGTGCAGTTTGCCTGCCCTCAGGCTCTCCCAGCTGTGAGCTTCTCTGCTGTGTCTTGGTCTGCAGCCCTCAGGAGCCAGGAGCAATGGATGCAAGCTGACTCTGGAATATCTGGGTTTAAGGGGATGAAAATGAATCTTTCTGCAAATGTAGAGGAGATTAATCTAAAAAATATTGGTAAAAGACTCATATACAACTTTGTCAGTGATAAAAAGCACATGCAATAGGACATTAATATCTTACTGAATCTTAGCTTCACTCATCACCTTGGTTTCTTCACTGATCTCAAATCAAACTATTGGTACAGGAATTTATATACCCTTTATAGCTTTATACTGCTTTATAGTTCTGCAGCTTAGAAAAATCCTTGCATACCACATATGACTATCCTCTAGGGATAAAATATGCTTGTCTTTAGAAATATCTCTTTGCTCTCCTTAATGAGTATTGTATTCCATTTTTCAAAAAAACTTTTTTATTACTAACTTACTAACAAGGAAACATTTTGTGTTAATTCTTATCTCTGTGCCGTAGCAGAGCTCAATGCAAAACAGTCAGCACTTACCTTTACTTTTGTAGCTGTATTTATATCTTGAATCATGTTTTTTATCTATTTTAAAATATTTTTTTGCAGCCTGTGCACATATGCTCTATATCTATAAATTATATATAATTCCTTTATTTCTTTTTCTAGTGGAAGAGCGCAATTTTGTAGAGATGCACCGATGGCCTTCAAATTTGTACCTGAAGCAGCTTGCTGATTACAGGAACTATATCCACTCTCAGAAATGCCACTGCACAGTAATGTAAAGAGGCTGAATACACACAAAGTGCATCTCAATTGCAAAATTTCAGATTGGGGATTATCTAGAATATAAAAACCACATAAAGAGTGAAACCTGATGCTAACCTCCTCTGGGAATTACGTTCTTTGTTTTGCTAACAAATCACTCTAATTTTTACCTTGAAGCATTGAGAAATGTATGTTGAAGATTTATTTTAAGCACAAGGACTTCATATTCATGGGGATTAAATGTATTACAGGACAGTGCTCTGACTGGTATCTGTTCCCCCTTCTAATTTCCTTTTTGTTTATTTTATTGTTTTTCATAGTTATTTGTGGCTGCTAAACTGAATCTGTTGAAAATAGACTGGTTTTGTGTATCTGTGCATAATAGAAGCATAGGGTTACAGTAACAGTGCAGGGAAGCTGAGAAGCCAGGTCATAATTTTTTCATATACTTCAGGATGCAAAAATTTTCTGTAGCATTTATTAGTTCACAATATAATGGGTAGGATTGTAGTTACTATTAATTTATTACTCCAGAGAAAGCCTGTTGTTCTGTTACAACCCTTTGATTAAGTGTTTTAATTCCAGAGGAATGCCATTGCATCACAGTATTCTCTAGAGCCTCCAAATATCTAAAGAATGACATGATTTTTCCTGCCAGTAGGTAGAAGAAAGCTTGTTTTCACAATCTTCAGAACACCACCTTTGTTAGTGTGGTCATGTTGTATTTTTCCCCATGAAGAATAAAGAGAGGGAAAACTACATATGCTCAGAGCATATCCATATGGTACTAATGGGCAGGGAAGAAAGGCAGAGGGCTTAACAGCCCCCTCTTTCTTGGGGTTTGAGCAAAAATCTCAAAAAGCCACTAGCAAAAATGGCTTTTTTTGGGAAAAGTGTGTCTAATAATCATAGTCACCACAATAGATGTTAGATGTGCTGGTCATGAAGGAGATGACCCTCACAGATTTGCAAGTGCTGCCACGGATGTTGGCTTTTGTGAGATGGAACTTTGAGATCAAACCTCCCCAGCAGGGATTAAGTTCAAGTTTAATTATCATCATGTGCTCATGAGCTACACCATGTGAGACAAACGTAGCTGTGGATCCTTTCTGAGATACGAGAGAAAAACACAGAATATTATGACTTACAAGATCCTTGCAGTTGCTATTTAGCATTTTCTTGACCAAAATAACTTGTCATGCTGCTGACTTGTGTGTACATAGTATGTGCTAATGCCAGAATGAACTGAGCCTTTTCCTGAGCATAGGTACATTTCTAGAACTAAAATCTAATCAAGGAACTAGATGCCTCATTATCATTCTTGTATTTTCAATTCTGGTTTATCATCTACCTTTGTAATGTGGTTTGTAGCCTGAGACTGTCGCATTTCTACCACATCAAATGTACCTAGAAACTGCACTTGTGAGAAGAAGGTGGAAAAACAAATTGCTGGAGCTGAATCTTTTTTTTTTTTTAAGTATAAGAATTGTTATATTTTTCAATACCATTTTATAGATAAATTGTTCTTTTCAAATTCTATTCTGGAGTCACTGAGATTTTTTTCTTTTTTTTTTGGTGATATTTTCCCTATTTTTGTATACACACAAAATAAAAAAGAGTTTATGACTCAGATGGCTGCTGCAGACTCAGAATTCCAAGGTTAGTTTTAGGCAAGAATGATTAAAAAAAAAAAAAAACCAAAAACAAAAAAAAACCAAACTTTGCATCTGCAGATCCTAAAGTTATTTAAAAGATTAATATACCTATCTACATCTTGCATATAGAGCCTAAAATATACAGAATGATAATGCTTTTTCAAAATCATAAAACAAAACTGAAATCATTTAACAAAAAAAATTAGCAGGAAAGTAATATGTATGGAACTTGCATGTGAAAAAAGTAGTTTTTATAGTCATATAGTTACCAAAAATTTAAGTAAAAATTAAATTACTGGATAGATATGAATAAAATTTCAGTAAGTTTTTTGAAGCTTAAAGTCATGGAAAAATTTGTGCATACAGTTAAACTACAGTTTGTCCAGACATCTGATAGCATCTTTGGGTGCTTCTACCAGAATCCAGCTCAATTACCAAAAGTGGGGATTAAATGCTTCATACTGACATCCTGTGTAAAAGTGACACAAAAGCTCTGTGAATGTTGGTCTAAGCTTCATGTAGTCCTGCATTTTTAATATTTTGAAAGCTTTCCCAGTTTTTTCACTAGGAAATTATTTGTGTAGAGATAATACATAAGAAAGTACTGGTTTTAATTTTCTGGAAATGTTTTATAGATTAGAATTTAAAAATTTTAAAAATAGGCTTAATGAAATTATAAAACACTTCATATCCAAACCAGAGAAATATTTTACTACTATGCATTTTAGTCAGTGATTGCTACAGGTTTTATACAGAGAAGTAATGCAGGTAAAAACATTTCGTATTTATTCAGAGATTCAGAGATTGATGCTTACCACTTTTCAGACAATAAACCAAGTTTCCATTTTACTGTGTAGCCCCATAATGCTGCCTGTATCTGGTGCAGATATGTTGTACTTGCAGATGTAGACCATCTGATAAATTTTAAGTCTTAAAAGAAATCTTACTAGACATTCTTATTTTCATTCTCTAAGATGATTTTCTGTAGAAATATATGTATCTTAGAGCTATTTTTAAACCTTTTTAGCATTTGGAAACATGACTGAAAGTAGATAATGATGTTTTGTGAGTTGCTATTCCTAGCTGGTTTTAGTGGAGGCTTTACGACTGTATCCATCACAGATAGTCAGGAATTAGGGCAGTACTGAATTAGGTATTTATTTATAATTGTGTATGGCATAAAGTAAAAACTGCTTTGATATAAACCCCCTACCTTATACTATGGTATAAAGTAAAGATCAGGAGCCAATTGGAAAAAAAAAAAGTTATTTAAGGAAGTGGTTTAGAAAAAATAAAATGTTTCTGGAATGCTTGCACTGATTCCAACACCTCCCAAACTCCCCTGGCACTGGCAGCATTGGGATCAAAGGAAGAGGTCAGTGGTGAATTTGGATGTCCCTAGGCAGTACCAATAGCATTTGACATTATATATTTAGGCTTAAGTTTAAGTAGAGATGCTACTCCTGAATCCGTCATTAGAACTAACTCTCAAAATTAACTTTTAACAAATAATTTTTTGAATAATGGATTACACTCTTAATTTTTGCTGTCCTATATGTGTTCTTGTCCCAAACTAGCACTAAACTTATAGATTAAAAAAAGTTTTCTACACTAGTAATGTTTTCCACATGATAGTCATAAAACTTTTGCTATTGTCTTTAGGCCATGGTGTGGTGGATTTGAAAACAAAACCAAACTGTTAGAAAAAAAAGTAATTATTTTATTAGGCATGTCCTGAAACTCTTGTATGTTTTTCTTTTAGTGTACCTAAATTACACATTTTTAGATTGAATATGTAAAATTTTTGATACAAAATTTAAAAAAAATCTCTAATTGGTCTCATGTGATTACTTATGGATATGTATTAGCATAGTTGAGTGTTACACTGGTGATATTTTTTGTAGCTTATTGGTATCATAGAACCATACTGGCTTGGGTAGAGCCATTGACTTGGGTGGCAAGAGACTTAAAGATCATCTTGTTCCAACACTCCTGTCATGGGTAGGGACACTTTCCACTAGACCACGTTGGTCAGCCTCACCTTGGACACCCAGATCCTCAACTAAGCACCCACTGAGCCACAACAGCAGCACTGAGCACTGATGGAAGATGCATGCAGTGTCCAAAAAGCCAGTGTGTTCAGGTAGCAGTGGGAGGAAGGGTTTGGTTTACAAAGCATTGAAGAAAGAGGGAAGAAAGATAACAAGGAAGGGGACATCAGACAGGAGTGGATCACCAGTCTTTAAAGGTCCAACATTGATCCAGCCAGTTCCCCACCCAGGCTCTGTGGGAATACCTTTTTATAGGTAAGTATATGTAGGCTCCCTGCATGTTTTTTTTACCTGTCAGACTTTTCCAGTGGTTCTGAAAACAGGAGGCAACAAGGACACTATTATGACTCTTATCCCATCTTCACTGACACTACTGTAAATCTGTGGGAACCTCCTCATCTCTTTCCTAAATGCTTGTCTGATGAAATTTTTACTATCTTGTGGCAAGTGCAGAATTGCAAGAAATTTACTGTGGGAAGGGATGGATAGGTGGATAATTAGAAATCATGTAGAGGATTGGCACTAACTTTGCTGTAGATGGCATCCTCATTCCAGGCTTGTGACATGGTATTCAGCCATGATGGGTTACCTCGGTTTGTGCCTGCTTCACTGCAGTGGTATTAGAGGAAGCTCTGCTGGTGGAGAGCAAGTAATGCAGTATTTGCTGTCCTTTTAAGTCCACAGCATCTCTTACAAAACACTGCAAAAAGTGGTGTCAGTACAGAGACAGACGTATCAGCTAGTCCAAGTCTGCTCCAAAAGCCTCAGATTGAAAACAAAGAAGCAAACACCTAAGGCAGCAACACTTCGCCCAAGTACAGAGGGTAGTTTGTGGTGGAAGGCTGAATTCTGGTGACAGCTTTAAGTTTAAAAGGTTTGCAGTTATTCTTCCTCTCTGGGTTAGTACTTCTCACTTTCCAGTAAAGTGATGTCCTCACAGAATTAAATTTTTACTGCATGTATTTCACAATCAATGTTAGTATTATGAAAATAGCTATTATGAAAGCATGTATCGTATTAAGTCTTGAAGCCATTCTTAGCCTCTATATGTGGCTGTCACATTTGGAAAGGAGGAGGAGGTTCAGGTCAGGTGGTAGGGAAAAACACTCAAATCTCCAGTATTGAGATCCATCCCTTTTCTCAGTTCTGCTCCACTCCCAGCTTCTTATTCAAGGACAGCTGAAAACAATGGCTGAGCACAACAAGAATCCATTTTCATCTTGTGCAGGCTACTGGTCAAGCCCTTTGTGTCAGAGAAGCAGACTTGGTGGAGGAAAACAAGCCCTGATTATTTTGTGGCTGTAAGGGTAAAGACTGTTTTAGATTTTTTAACCTGAAAGACTTTCCACGTGACCTGAAGATTCACCTGGGAACTCCAAGCTGAAGACATTAAATTCTCACTATTCTTTGCTCAAAAGGATAAACATTGAAGGCCTCGTTATATGCTGTAAATGCAAAACAACAACTACCTACATTCCTTTATATGTTCAGCCATGCTCAGTTAACAAGTGAAATCAGCTGGACAAGCCTGGGCCATGGCAGACCCATCCTT